CCACCGCAGCCTCGACCTGCTGGGCTCCGGCGATCCTTCTGCCTCAGCCTTCTAGCCGGAACTACAGGCGTGCGCTACCACGTCTGGCTAGTTTTTAATTTACTGTAGAAACGAGGTCTCGCCAAGTTGCCTGGGCTGGTCTTGAACCCGTGGGCTCAGGCAGTCCACTTGCCTTGGCCTCCCAAAGTGCTGGGATTATAGGCTGAGCCACTGAGGCTGGCCTGGAAGCTCTATGAACATATTTTTACTTTTGAGAACAAACATCCTTACAGAGTGAGCTTGCTGGTTTGAGGCCTGGTTCAGTACATCCATCTGTGACGGAGTCTGAGTGTCCCAGCAGCCCAGCTGTGCTCTGTCCCAGAATCGTCGGTGTGGATGTGGAGATTGTCCTGCCAGGTTTCCCACTGAAGGCATTTACAAGTCCAGTGGATCATGAAGGGTGAGACCACCCTGGGCCACCGAGGCCGAGGTGTGGGTGTAGAGCTGTGGAGACACAGCCCCGGGATGCTTGCTTCCTCTCCACCCGCCCCAGGCTCACTGAGAGTGCGGCAGGGTGTCTGGGGCCAGGTGGTCCTTCTATTATGAAGAGAAACGATGAGCAGGATGCACGTTAGTCTTTAATTCACTTTTAATAGTATAAACCTCATTTAGGTAGTAGTATTAAGCCACAACAATAATGCCACATGGAAACAGCATTTAATAAAATGCATAAAGCTAATTCATGCACTGCAATACTCTATATACAGACACAACAATGCAAATTCTTCTTCAAGACTGAAGACATTGATTAGATATAAAATTCAGTTTAAAAAGAACATGCTGTTTTTTAAATGCCATCACATAAACAAAGTGATTTCACAGGGAGACGAAAGCTGTAGCTTTCAGCAGGTTTTAAACCTGGAATTAAAATGTAATGGCAGAAACAATATTGTGAAGGGCAGAGGTTACATAATCGGTCCCAAGAAAATCTCACACCCAAATTTTCCTTTGATAGACATCTTTTAAAAGGGCTGGTAATGCAGCTACATTTTAACAGAGAGTTCCACACTACAGGTAAAAACTACTGTTTGTACTATGAAAAATGTGCAGCTTTTCAGTTATAAAACTAGTTGAACACTGGTTTACAAGGTAATTACTTGGTAGAACGGAGAGACTGTAGAAAAATATTCCAGCACTTGAGTTGTATGTGGCAGCAGCATCTGAGTCCATGAATGCTATGGTTGTTAAAATGATAACTGACTATACTTTCCTAAAGAAAAGCCATTTTTAATGTAAAGCCTACTACTTCCAGACGTTATCCAAATGTTAAACTTTAACAGTCTGTCAACTGATAAATGTTGTTGAGCATTTTTTCCTATGCTGTGTGTATACTGAGACACAAAATTACTGGCTTAACTGAAAACATAGCCGAGCATTAAAAATATGACGTTTCCCCTCCCCACCAAGGTATACTTTTAAGCTCAAAGATAAGTTATCCTTAGATTGCTGTTAATTGAGATAAACAGCTCCAAAGGAAACTTTTTAACAATTCACTTAAAGACTGTCAAGCTTTCATTTGTATTTTAACTGGAAAGCCACTTTTAGTAGTGTGATTGTCACAACAGGCTATGACAGGGAAAGGTGGAACAATCACTGTGGGATGAAACCAGTGACACAACAGAAACTTCTTTACATCAAAAATGGGAAGCTGAAGGCTAAACGACCCACCTTCTCACAAAAGGCACTGAGTACTATGGTCTCCTAAAGTGTTTTTGAAACATTTTGAGAGCTTATTTTTTTTAAAAAAGAGCAACCTGTGGATTTTTTTGAGTTTTTGCAGTAATTCAGAGACTCCCTCCAGTGGGCCAGTTTCCATGGGCCTGCCAGCAGACCTTTGCTGTCCAGGTCCGTGAGAAGCACGCACTGCTGGGCCAGCGGCCCGGGCTCCCGAGTGCCGAGTCTTACCTTAAAGCCCGATTAAGGAGGAAAATTTATCAGAACAGACCTGGACAAGGAAAATTTGGTATCTGTAGCTTTAAGGGCACACATATCTATAGTAAAATGCAATTTTTATTGGAAATTTTTAATTCAGTTTACATAAAGGAGTTAAGTCAGTGGATTTCATTCACATGCTTATGGTTAGAGAAGTAACTTAAGATTGTAGTTTATATGCCACGAAGGTTAGCCATCGATATCCGTGCTTACTTTTAAAGAATACTTGCTAGCCTATTTATTTTTAACTGGTGCTAGGGAGATGGGAGTTTCTGTTTGTTTCGTCACAGTGCCCCACATCTTGCTGACTGAGCACAGTGTGAGCATGGGAAACTGCTGCCACCTTTGGGAGTCGGGCTGCCTTGCCATGGACTGTTCTGAATCTCTGACTGCAATGCCTGTCTCTGGACGGCACCACGGAGCTCTGAGTAGCTGGAAAGGCCGATGGCTCTACGTAGCCGCCAAGTTCCTTCCAGTTAGGCCATGAACAGGTACATGAAAAGCAGGTTAAAAAATTCTCACTTGGTTTTGAACATTAGAACAAACTGCCTTCCAGCTTCTTGGCCCTAGTCTGAACCTAGTGAATATAAAGAAATGTCATCCTGTCAGAACCTTTTCTGGCTGGAATTTTTCCTTGTGCAGAGTGGAGATTCTGACTTCATGGCCCCTCCCAGGCAGGCTCACCCAAAGGAAAACGGAGTTAAGAAAATCCCAAGTAAATCTTCCCTGCCAAGGGACCTTGGAACACACACATCAGTTTACATGAGCGACTCTATCAAAAACTCTCTTTAAAACATAAGGAAAGTTTGGATACATGTCTGTATACATAATATACACCTATGTACACATACACACACTATATACACTGTACATACAGAGAAGATATAAACACATGTACATTCATTCAGTCATACCGCTTGCCTATAAATCTGTACACGCACAATGCCGCCTAAGGGACCCAGGGCTGGATATGCAAAGTGCACGCCGGTGGGAGGCACACGATGGGGAAGTCCAGACCCTGTGTACAAGAGACTCAACCCCACTGTTTCGATGAGGGGTTGGCTTTCAACATTTACATCAAAGTTAAGACATTTTCAAAGAGCCGCATTAGCAGGAGAATGGAAGCGGGACAAAGGGAGCACATGGGGCGTCTCCTCTGCCAGCCGAGACTAAAGGGCAATGCTGCCCTGGGAGAAAAGTGGATGCCAGATGACGCTCTTCATGATCTGGACTTAGAGAAGAATTGAATTGTTACCTATGACCCCACTGCATGTAAAGTCACTTACACTGGAATGTGGGCAGGCTGTTTCCAGACTCCAATGAGACCGGGTCCCGGAACAAGCTTCACAGACATGCACCAAGGCGACCCACAGTCAGCAGCCGCATGTCTCACAGTCTTGTGAGCAAGACTACTCTATGGGAAACGCCTTCAAAGACTAGGACTTGGATTATCCAGAGTCTAGAGTCTTTACAATCCTTGGCCTCCTGCAGTGGCTATCCCACAAATAAGCAAAATGGCTGCTAAGTGTGTGTAGTGTGGGTGGTGCCCCTATCTTAGAGGCCCAAGGGATCCATTGTTACCACCATGGCTGGTGTCCCAACTGCTCAGAACAGGGTCCACATTTAATACTGATGCTGACAAGCTAAAAATCAATCCCTCTTGAGGGCAATTATACAACACATCTTACAAGTGACATACCTGAAATTAAATATAAAACCCAAAACAACAAAAGAACCCAAACCACAGCCTATGGCAAGGGCTAGACAATAAATAATGGAACCCCCAGTACATATACATAGAATATCAAATTAGAAGGATATCATACTTTCTTAAAAACATCTTCCAGGAGTAACTTGAAAAGTATTACCTGATTAAATAATTTGGTCTTTTTCTAACCCTCTCCCTGTCTTATTTTATGCTTATATGTAATGATCTCTACAAACTTCAACATATGTCTATCTTAGCCCAACATTATCTGAGCTACTTGGAAAAGAGGCCACTTCACAGACAAGTGACAGCATGTGTCTGTCCCACTTCCCAGAGCCATCTGTCTCTCCCTAGGAGTGGCCAGCACAGTAGGAGAAGGCTCCAGGGCAAAGCAGCCCAGGAACTCAGTGGCCAGAGGGCTGTTCTCACTTCATTAAGCTCAGATTTCACCAATTACTAACAAGTTACAAGCTCTGTGAAGGTCGACTCTGGGATATCTGGTTGGGATCTCTCTAAATGTTGACTTTGGGCTGACTTTCCTTAACCAATCTGACAAGAGATGAAGTGGACCTGCAGTCAAAGGCTTGAAATGTGTTCAGGCAGCAAGAACTCGGGACGCGATCCTTAAAGAAAAGGCCACCTCAAAGTAAGGCCAAGAGGATCTGGGAAACCAATGAAGGAGTGTGTTCAAAGCCCAGCATGGTCCCCTGGAATTAGCCATCACCAGTGAGAAGGACTAGACAAGCAGGACCAGGTTACAATCAGCATCCTTACAAGCTGAATCGTATTTTCTCCAGGGCTGTCTCACCAGAGCTTAGCATGTCCTTATCCAATCTGACTCTAAACAGCCTAATGGCTACTGCTGGGTGGCCTGGGAATGAGGGGCCAGTGAAGACCACCGAGAACTGGGATCTGAAAGCTGCCACACATGTATTCCAGGGAACTGCTACATAATGGGTGTGCTCATGCTCAAGAATCAAAAGGACAGAAAAGCAGGCAACTCTCTGTTGAGACGTGTGGCTGTACTTCAAGATGCCTGCTACTAAAATCCTTCACAAGCAGAGATGAAACAGATCCACCCTGAACTCCACTGTCTTGGCCAGTTGTTTTGGTCTTCATTTTGAAAATGAAAACACTTCGGGGTAGAAAACGAAAAATGTCTCCAAGCTGGCAAAATTAAATCCTTTCCATCATTTTATAATGGCCACTACTACTCTCCAAAATCTGCTGCCAAGGTATGAACTGTAAATGATATAATTTCATCGAAACAGGAATCGAGAAGTTGGAATCCTCTCCCCACTTAACTCCCACTAACAGTGACTCACACAAAGTGCTGCCAGCACTTCAGGATGCATCCTGTTTTGCCTCGAGCTTGCAGCAGCTTTCATCCTGCCCAGAATGGCACCCAGGGGCATCTGTGGTAGGTTGGCCCAGCAACCTGTGCAGCACATGTGTGGCACTGGCCTTGGTACTGCTGGCCTGAGCCAGATCAGGGGACCTGTGAGTGTACTGGGACCCTTTTGGATATCATCTCATCATCAGGTTCAACATGCAAATTTAACCTCACAGATGCATTTTCCTAAAGTAGGCTGTACAAAAAGCCTAACATAGAGCGCTTGACCTGGTCTTCCACATGCTATTTTTCTCAAGCAGGAAAAGTGTGCTGCTTGTTCATATCCATGGGAATTTATGGGTGCTTTAGGTTAGACATAAGTTCCTTATAAGCTATTCTGTTTTGTTGTAAACTCTGGTTACTATAATTCAGGAGAAAGACTATCACCTTAGGAATCGTGGCTTGTTTTTTAAGGAGCAGGCAGCTTGCTTCTGCATCCATCATTTAAAATGCTCCGATGTGGTCTACTGGCACATAACCTGGGAACCAAGGTGCACAGTGTGCCAGTAACATTCACAGACTTGCCAAGAGAGATGTTGAGTCTGGAGACATTCTGAAAATCTCTGACATTTAAGGTCAACAGGAAAAAACTGTCCTGAAACCTTCCATTGAGCTCCAGCAGGCCTGGCCACTGTGGCCAGGCAGCAAGATCCTGCACCTCCCCAATCCAGCCCCACAGTTCTGCCAGACCTGCAGAAACACAAGGCCTTCTCAAGGGGGCATTTGGAGTGGAACCACCTGGGAAGGGAACTTGCACTTGCCATGGAGGCCGCATTCCCCCATCCGGACAACACGCAGCCACCATCATCGTACCGGAGGTACTGTCAAGGGTGCAAAATGCCCACTTTGCGCCTTTCGGTCAGAAGCCTCCAGCTACCACAAGAGGTGGAGGGGATATGGGGATGCTTTCGGTTGCTGGAGGAATTGCATGTCTCCTTCGGCAGTTAGTTTGACTAGTTGCAATCGCATTCTGAACACCGGTCATCAGAAGAGAACCCCAGGTTCTAGAGGCGTCTGCGAATGCCCATCCTCGACCAGGACCAGCTAGTCAGGGGACCTGACAGGTGTCAGCTCGATGGTTGGAAGTATCCGGTTTGAGTTACTGCCGACTGTGCTACTACATTCCCACGTACTGTGTGTTGCGAAGAAGCCGCATTTTCAAACACAAGAAGTTAGCTCAACCCCACCGACATGTGCACACATCAGGAATGATGCCTTCTTTTTTTTAAACATAAATGATTGTCTCCTGTACCCTAGGGAGTTTTCACAGAAATCATTCGCATTTCGGCAAAAGACATAGACAGTTTTCCATTTGCCCTGCCTACAGGCAAGATGTTGCTAACATTACGCATGGATAAGAAGTGCTTAGAAAGTGCTAATATTATTACCCTGGTAATTAGTAGCTATCAATTCCAAGGACATTTTTAATATATATACACACATACTGTCTCTTAGGTTCTTTTAGTTTTCTTTAATACTAGTCTCTGACGTTAAAAAACTTCATTTTGTTTTTTGCCCTTTGAGAACTGCTAAATACAAATTGAGTTAAAAGACTTCCAAAATCTGCTGCTTCATCAAAAGGCATTTAAAACATTTCTTATGGCAGGAAAGGATCCTACTAGTCTTTTAGTTGCTACTGTCTGGGATTAACAGGGAGAACAAGGTCAGAAATGGCTACCGTTGAAAATATCTGCACATACCAAAATACCACTACTTTGTGTCTGAACAGTTCTGAGGATCTTTCGCTCCTCAGCAGGTGTGTGGTGTGCACTATAGACTTGCTCCAGTGATCTGGCCGTTATACTCTGCTGTCTCCATCTTGAGGATGTAGGGGATTATGCTGTCTATCGAAACATTGCCAATGAGGCCAGTAAAAAAAAGTTCTTCTGTGATGTTGGAGCTCATCAGCCTGAGTGCCGGCAGGCGGACAAGGATCCGGGCCAATCTGCAAGAGGGAGTGTTGTTAGAAAGGGGGCTGTCTGCTGCCCTTCTCTGTAGCCCAGCACAGGCTCTGGGAGCCGTCTGGACTGCGTAGGATCGAACTGCACGGATCCACCATCCACCCCTGTCTTGCTTTTCTGGTTTCATCTTTTCCCTTTTTTGCTTTCTTTCCTCTCATAGAAATGTATCACGAGGAAAAAAAATCAAACAAGTGCAAAATCTCTGTACAACTATGCTCCCTTCATTGTTGTTTGGGACGACTCTCCCACCTCCACCAGAAGAAAAACCTTAGAAATTCATCAACAGAAGACAGGTTAAAATAAAGCACGGGGGTCTACATATGACAGACTGCTACATACTCATTAGAAAAAGGATAAGAAAAATCTGTATTTATTGCTAAGGAAAGACATCCATGACATACTGCCCAACAACAATGTAAAAGGAGGCTGTGAAGCAGCAAGAACAGCAAATCTTGCTGGTGGATATTTGTGTGTACACGTGCATACGAAGTAAATGTCACCACAATGCTAACAGTTGGGCTATGGGTATTGGGATTGGAAGTGATTTTACTTATTTTCAGTACTGCCATATTTTCCAGTGCTCATTCAGTATTATAAATAAAGCAAAACAGCTTTCATTTTGAAGGAGCCTGGGGTGGGAAAGTGCACCATGACCTTGCCCTCCAGGGCCCCTGGACACTGTGTATCTCAAGTGCCCCACATCACCAGGTGTGCCAGGATGCTACTGCAGTGCCGTGTGCAACAGTCAAACTGGAAACAACCTACCTTTTCATTAGCAAGGAAACATTAGCCATGGAAAATGAAGAAGAGTATATATGCTTATTGTACATTAAATGAAAACATATCAAAAACCTTTGATATTTTATAATCCCAATTACAATACCTAAAATATTTTTGGAAGTAAATTCATAAAATGTTCATTGGATAGTGCTTTTTTATTTTTTTGAGTTGGAGCCTCACTCCGTCCCCCAGGTGGGAGTGCAGTGATACGATTGCCACTCACTGCAGCCTTGACCTCCTGGGCTCAGGTGATCATTCCACCTCAGCCTCCCAAGTAGCTGGGACCACAGGCATGTGTCACCATGACTAGCTAATTTTTAAATTTTTGTAGAGACAAGGTCTCGCTGTGTTGCCTAAGCTGGTCTTGAACTCCTGGGCTCAAGCAACCTTCCCACCTTGGCCTCCCAAAGTGCTAGGATTACAAGTGTGAGCCACTGCACCTGGCAATAGTGTTTTTTTTTGTTTTTTTTTTTTTTGAGTTGGAGTCTCACTCAGTCGCCCAGACTGGAGTGCAGTGGCCGCTCCCGGCCACCGCAGCCTTGACCTGCTGGGGCTCTGGCAATCCTTCTGCCTCAGTCTTCCAAGTAGCCGGAACTACAGACGCGTGCCACCACGCCTGGCTAATTTTATGATTCATTGTAGAGATGAGGTCTCGCCAATTTGCCCAGGCGGGTCTTGAACCCGCGGGCTCAGGCAATCCACTCACCTCGGCCTCCCAAAGCATGGGATTACAGGCTGAGCCACTGAGCCTGGTTTTTTAAAAAAATTTTTATAAAGAGTGCAAAGTTATCTTTCTAAAATGTTCTGAGTGAAATTATGGTTTTGTTATTTTTTGAGCTGGAGTTTCACTCTGTCACCCAGGTTGGAGTGCAGTGGCATGCTCACGGCCACCACAGCCTCGACCTGCTGGGCTCAGGTGATCCTTCTGCCTCAGCCTTCCAAGTAGCTGGAAATACAGACACATACCACTATGCTACTGTTTTTTTGGTTTGTTGTAGAGATGAGGTCTCGCCAAGTTGTCCAGGCTGGTTTCGAACCCGTGGGCTCAGGCAGTCCTCTCACCTCGGCCTCCCGAGTGCTAGGATTATAGGTGTGAGCCACCGAGCCTGGCTTATGCTATTTTTTAAAAGGGAAAATGTGTTCATATTATGCAAGCAGCATTCCAGCACCTTTATGCATTCACCCAGCCACTGTGAATCAATGGGCTCAGATCCTGCAGGGCACACATACGTGTAAGGGATCCTGAAGGGCAGGGCAGGCTCAAGGGTCTCAGGAAGTCAGCAAATGCAAATCAGGGAAGACTTCCTGGAGTACACGACATCTCAGCTGGGCTTTAGAGGCTGGCTAAGATTTCTGACAGCATGCAAAGAATGGGGAAGGTAATTTAGGAGGAAAATCAACATGAGAAAAGACAAAAGCATGGGAAAGACTAAAAAATGAATTTATAGGCCAGGTGCAGTGGCTCACACCTGTAATTCCAGCACTTTAGGAGGCCGAGGGATCACTTGAGGTCAGTAGTTTGAGACCAGCCAGCCTGGGCCACATAGCAAGATTATGTCTCTATTAAAAAAAAAAAAAAAAAAAAAAGGAGGGGGGCATGGTGGCACACACCTGTAGTTCCAGCTACTTGGGAGGCTGAGGCAGAAGGATTGCCTGAGCCTTGGAGGTCTGGGCTACAGTGAGCTATGATCACGTCACCGCACTCCAGCCTGGGTAAGAATGAGACCCTGACTTAAAAAAAAAAAAAAAAAGAAAAGAAAGAAAATATATAAACAAGGTGCAAAACATTCCAGGGCCTTCCTTTTCTTTGGGAACTGCCTCTGGGTCCTATAAGAAAATCTCCCTTATCTCATTTTGGGTCTGAAACAACTCTTCCGGCCCGAAGTCCCTGACTAGATCAGGCGTGACTCAGGATTTCTTCAGAAACGTTGTATCTACTTTCCTAGGCCACAGAGTTGCTGATGTTACAGTGATTCTAGAGTGTGCTGTGGCTCTGCAGCCCCAGGGACCATTTCCAACCATCTTCTGGCCATGGGAACTATGTGGGAATAGGCCGCACACCTAGCTGGACATACGAGTTCTAGGGCTGGGTACATTACTTGACAGTCCCATTCTATATGTATGGAGGCAGCAGTTACTCTAGATTCATGATGAGGGCTTCAGTGATTCCAACAGGAAATGGACCCTGCTTTTGCAAAAGCTGCATTTGGGCACTGAGTATACTGAGAGGAGAGGCAGGCCTAGTCTACCAGCAGGACCAGCCATAAGACCCCCCAGTTACACCAGAGAAACAGTGGGGGACTGTCCTGGTTTTACTGCTGAAAGAGAGGAGCTGGCTTCCCTCCCTGGGGGCAAAATCATTCCCTTTGAGAAGCACTGGACCAGAAGGGGATGCCCCAGAGCTTGGAGCATCTGTTTCAGTGGGTACCTGCAGACTGAGGTCTGTGCTGGGGACACACATCTGGGGAACGTAGAACTGTGTCTTCCTGGGCTGTCAATTTTGCTCCAATGTTTGTTTTGGGATAGTGGGGAGGGAAATTCATGGAGTCTCCAGGGGGTCAGAAGCAGTCACAGTGAAAGAGTTCTGCCTTCCTTGGCTGGAAAGCTGTCCAGTGCATTCTGCGCTCTGGCAGACCTGGACAACTTTCCTGCCCAAATCTGCATGACAAAGGTTAATTTTTTATTTTTTGCTGCCCACCTATTACAAATAATGCCATTAATTAACTTTCATCCAAACAGAGACTTTCTTCCACTGGTTTATCTGAGGGCAAAATTATTTTATACAACTCACCTACTTCTGTATAGGGGTCAAGTTTGATTTCTGTCAATGAAGATTTCCTGTCAAGTACTCTAGCATTGCCTATTCAGTGGATGCTGACCTGAGGGCAAATCTTTCAAACTATTCTGGACAAGAGGAGTCTCCAAGATAACTGAAGCCTCATGATCAACAAGAGCTCCAGAAGAGGTCACATAGCATTGACTCCAACCCTTCAATTAAAGAGCAGTGACCTGAGGCCTCACGCAGTCACACAGCAGCACTGAAGCAGCCAAGGTTCTGAGCCTCTTGCCTAGGGCTCGGCACACTCTACCGCCACTTTGCAAATTAGTCAATCAGAGGCTCTATAGGCTGCCAGAGATGGGAAGGCTAACGTAACGTGTATTTGAAACTACTGATCCAGTCACGCTCCTTCCTGCCCCAAGCAAGGGTGTGTGCTTGGCGCCTCACCGGTAGGTGTCTTCCGAGTAGGTTTTCTGAACGTAGTCCTGCAATTCCATCTGTGCCTTTTCTTGGAATTTTTCAATTTGGCTTGTGCTGGTCAAACCTGGATGATCTGAAAACAGAAAGTACCCCCAAATTCCCCTCTGAATATGAAAGGTCTCATTTGCAGACTTGCTTTTTTTTTTTTTTAAAAAAGCAGGATTTATTGAAAGGATAGAAAAGCTCCCACAGTAGGAGGGGACTCGAAGGGGCTGCCCTTGCACACTTAATATTTATTTTTAGTCAAATTTCTGAAAACTTCTCATGTATAACAGATTGAACTTAAAGGCTGATCTAGTGGGGATATTATTATTTGAACACTGGCTTTCCCTCTGTTTTCTGCCAAGGCTTGAAGGCTCCTTGAAGGGTTTGGGGGCTCCTGAGTGAACACCAGCCTGCGCAGCCTCACCTGGTTGGATCTGGACCTGTGGCTTCCTAATACTCTAGAAAACACAATCTTAAAAGTATTGCATGAAATTAGAAATTATCATTTACCTTCCAGATATTTAATGACATAATTTCTCTTATTTTTATCAGCTATTTTGTCATTCGTGAGACCCTGCTGCAGAGGTCAACAGTCAGCTCCAAGTCTCTGACTTTCCACCCCAGTCCTTCTGCCTCTTCTTCATCTCCTCCGACCATACTTCTTAGCATGTCCTGCAGCAGCCGTGGCTACTGCTCTACACAGAGGCTGGGGGAAATGGTGAAGTTTCTATATGTACTGGATTCTACATGCTAGTGAAACCTGGAGGATGGCAAAGGTCCAAAAAGAAGAGTAAAGAGGCCACTGGATGGCAACACATGCTTGTTTCGTATGGTCAATGGTTTAATTAGGATACGGATTAGATCTATTTAGTACATGGCACTGCTAGGCACTGTGGGGCTGTGATGGCATGAATGTAAAAGAATCTGTGTATTTATGTTAGCTAGCAAAACACACTGTGTGAGAACACTAGGTCACATACAATCTGGCAGGGCTCTCTACACCACTGATGACCTGATAACACATTCATGTTCAGAAATAGCAGTAGACACAGGTGGAAAAGTGTCATGACCCCCACCGCATATCTTACCGGGGCTAAAGAGAACTATAGCTTTAAGGTATGCATACTCATAGCCGTCTATATCCAGCTTCGCCATGCTGTTGCAGAACTCCTGAAGCTTCCAGATGTGTTCCATGACTTGCTTTATCCGGTCACCAGAAAGTTTATCTAAAACAACATCACAGATCTCTGAGAAAGGCTGATAGAAACAGCAAAACCTGCTTCTGAGGGGCCAGATTGAAAGACATGGTAAAGTAATTTCACTTTTTTTTTTTTGAGTTGGAGTCTCACTCTGTCGCCCAGACTGGAGTGCGGTGGCCGGGAGTGGCCTCGACCTGCTGGGCTTCGGTGATCCTTCTGCCTCAGCCTTCCAGTAGCCGGAATTACAGGCATGTGCTACCACACCCAGCTGATTTTTTTTTTGATTTATTGTAGAGATGAGGTCTTGCTGCCCAGGCGGGTCTCGAACCCACGGGCTCAGGCAATCCACTCACCTCAGCCTCCCAAAGGCGGGGGATTACAGGCTGAGCCATCGAGCCTGGCTGTAATTTCACTTTTTAATAACAAATCAGACATCACAAGATGGTCAAGAGCTTTGCTTTCCAGTTGAAGAAGTGGTAATAGGTACCCCAATTCCATTCCATCATGTATTCTGCATCAATAACAAAACCCTAGACTCTCTCTGCTCCTTCCCCCTGGGCTCCCTTGGCCTGCAGGTGCAAACTGATAACTCCTTTTGTTCTGTGCTTAAGACCCATAGTCAGTTCATATCAATGACTAGGTTTTCTAAGTCTCTTCAGGCATCTAATAAACGTTTGCTGACCTGAACACTAAATGTTGGCATTTTTTAGTTGTTGAAACAAATTTTTTTTTGAGATGAGGTCTTACTATATTGCCCAAGCTGAACTTGAACTCCTGGGCTGAAGCAATCCTCCTGCCTCAGCCTCCTGCGTAGCTGGGCCTACAGGCGCCTGTCACCATGCCCAGCTTCAAATCAATATTATGTTATTTCACTTAACCTTCATGATAAAACTTGACTAAAGATATTAGTATTATTATACTCAGTTAAAAATAAAGAAAAACGAAAGCTCATTTGTGAACAAATTGATAAAATATCAAAGGGATTTTCTTACCTCACCCTTATAAACTATTCCAAGGGCATAACAAGAAAAACAAAGATATGACTAGGTCATGCACATGGCTAGATACCAAACACCTGGACTACCCAATTAAAAGTGCAGTTCCTTTCCACTTCAGCTGCAAGTGTAGTTTTTCCAGTGTTAACCTTGAGTCCTGGGCACGTCTGCTCCAGACAGTGATCTCCAGTGTGTTGCATACATGCTGCATGTGGAGACACTGCACTGGCTGCCTCCTATCCCTGACCCAGCTAGTATTTTGACCACCGAATATTAGATGCCTGCCACAGATCTGACTAGAAGAGAGTCATTTGTTCATTCAAGAGGGGCGGCTGGGGTGAGGGGGTTTTGTCTCAGACTAGGGGGTCGCCATGGCCCAGGTCTGTGACCTAGCTTTTCTACTTACTGTTTCATTTGGGGATGCCAGGGACCTCACTGGGGTCTCAATTTTCCCATGTGAGAAAATGAGAGGACAGTCCCTACTTTATAGGGTTGTGAGGATTTATGAGCTATTATACATGAAAAATAACCTGTTAGTGAAGATAAAAATGTAAGCTGTGATTATTCTGGAAATATCACAAAATGCCTATCAGGAAACTGGCTTTTTAAGGCTTTTTTCTTCCTCATATTTACTATATGAAAATTGGGCAATCTGGCAGAAATCTAAATATTCTAACTGGTAAAGGCCACATAACAGTCAAACTTCCCTCAGCCTATGGATGCTGTGGAACACTGAGGCCGGCCAGTTTTCCATGGTGTCAGCCTGGGTCAACAAAGGTGGCTCTGACATGCACCTTCAACCAGGACTGGGCTCTGCTCCTTGGGCATAGGCAAGACCAAGACACACTCCAGCCCCATGTCCCTGGGCCCTACCTTCCTGGATACTGTTCTGCAGGTGGTTGACGATGGCGGCCAGGATGGTGGAAAGACTCATGACCTGGGCACACTGGGCCAGGCCGAGGGTGAAGAGCTCGTTCCAGCAGGCCCGCACCAGGCTGGTGTTGCAGTCCTGCCTGGGGACACAGAGAGGAGGCTGAGTGCAGCACAAATTGGCACTTCTCCAAGGATGTGTGGCATGCAGGCACTAAGGCCTGGTACTTCCCAAGTTAGTGAATTCAGCAAGCATTTAGGGCTACAGCGCGTCCAGGATTGTTCTCCAAGAAAATGATGATGTCTATTAATAAATCTATGAATTTTTTAACCAAAGTCCCTTTGATGATAAACCATCTATTCTCTTTACAAAGATTCTTTAGACTTAAATAATAAGAAATTTCAAATGTGGCCAAACCACATTTCCTACAGCTTCCTAAATCTTCAGCAGTCCTGGTTTGGCTCTGGCCCGAGAGATGGGTATCTGTGACTTATCTCCTGCAGCCAAGGTCACGAGATCTGTGGGGAACAGAGAACCAAGAGCTGAGTGTGGGCTCTGACAGGCAGAAACACACCCTGCAAGCCCTGGTAGGCCAGAGGCAGGCCCTGTGCTGGACTGGACCTGTGGCAGGGAGATCGGGTCCAGCTAAGGCTGCCTTCAGCCCTCCCCAGGCAACTTCTACTCAGGTTCGTCAGCATGGTTGGCACATTGCAAAACAACACGTCCTTATTCGCAGAAATGCACAAATGTGGCATTCCTCCACCTGTCTCAAGGTTCTTCCACCTGTCTCAAGCCAGTGAGAACCAGGCCTATGGTACTGCACCATTTCCAGACACCCGGTACATTTCTCTAGTATTTTATTGTTATTGCTGCCTTGAACACTGACTTATGAACCGTATGTGAAATATAACTGAAACCACTTTAAATGTGGGGCATGTTTTATCTAGCCTGAGCTGAGAAACTCTGTGGAGGTTCCAAATTGCCCAACTAGAAAAAGTACATTCAGGCGGTGGGTGGATCACTTTTTGCCCCACTTTAAAAATAGCTGCCTACCAGTACTAATAATGGTAATCAACAAAATATCTGGAGTTATACCATCTACCAGATGGTAGCAAGGGGTAGGCCATTCTCCCAAAAAGTTAACTCTGAACTTGTAATACTTGTTCAGCAGTCACTACGTATCTAGTTCTTCCAGAATGAGGAGCCAATTCTGTCCAATTCTCCTTTAATCGTGGAGGCAGGCGGCCATTTTAACCACCACTCAGGGCACATCTCTGCACTGCCAAGCCACCAGCACCACCCTGTCTCGTGCTGACACCCTGCTACTTGCCAGGCACTGGGCTAAGAGATTCAGGCCTTAAACTCATGCAGGGATTCCATGGTGAGGAAGAGGATGCTCGGAGAGGTAAGGGGTAAAGGGACTTGCACAAGGCCATGCAGCAGGTAAGTGTTGCCACCACAGCCTCGCCCCGCTGGACTTAGGTGATCCTTCCGCCTCAGCCTACCAAGTAGCCAGAACTACAGGTGTGTGCTACCACACCCAGCTAATTCTTTTAAAAATTTATTGTAGAGATGAGGTCTTACCAAGTTGCCCAGGCTGGTCTTGAACCCCCCTGGGCTAAGGTAATCCTCTTGCCTCAGTCTCCCAAAGTGCTGGGATTATAGGCTTGAGCCATCGTGTGCCCCAAGCGCTATTTTTATGGCTCAACATTCATGGGCCTGTTAGTTCCAAAACCAGTGTTACAAACCACTAGATGACCTGGCCTTCCATTCCAGTGTTTCCCACATATTGCCTCAAGATAGACACTGTCTAATGTGCAATAACTCTCATTGTATTTCCATTTTTTTGTGTCTACAACCAGACTGCGAGCCAACTATTGGGCCCCATGGCAGCCTGCACCAAGGGCACAGCACTGGGCATAGTGGGAGAGCTGACGCTGAGATTTAGGGAAGAAACACACACAAGTGATACTCAACAAAGCAAGAAAAAAGGGCCTCCTGCAGAGACGACACTAGGACCAGCACTGTGCAATGTGACGTTTGGCAGTGAGGTAAGGTGCTTGTGTAAGAATGTCAATGGATGCTCTGTGTTAGAGGAAATGGCTGATTCACATTCATCTTTTCAAGGCCCAGGCACAGTTCCTGGCCTGGCTTCAGCCTGTGAGTCACTCTGTGCATAGCATGGTGCCAGGGACTGACTACCCCTGACTTCTACTCCACTGCATCCCCAGCTCCTGGCACCAAGTCCCTGGCGCCAGCAGGAGGCTCCATAAAGGTTCGAGAAATGTCACAGAACTGGCAATCACAGTCCCTGCTCCCAGTCCATTTATCTATATTTAATAAGAAACTCAGGGCCCCTTGAATGGGTCATGGGAATGGTAAACCAGAAGGGCCCTGAGAGATCTTCCAGGCCATTCCTGGAGAAAGGTCCCTACCCAAGGGTACATGCAGAGAAAAAGGCCACTTACCCAAGTGCCTGAAAGGCTGGGATTGACCTAGCCCAGTGCATTGAGAGGAAGAGCAGACGGGATGCAGACTCGCAGATGTAGTGCACGTTGAGGTACTCCGGCATTGGGCTGGGCATGGTCAGCTGGAGAAGAGGAGGCACATGGCACAGGAGGTGAAGGATAGATGAGAGACGTCTGTCAACATGTATCTCTGCTGTGTTTCAACAACAGTGGCAGCTAGAGGCACTGTCTCTTCCTGTGATGCTCCTGTGTGGACCCATCCTTAGTGGAGTATATGTCCCCTGCAGTGGGGGCTTGCACCGACTCCCCATGTTTTCTTGCTTAGTGAAATAGGGTCCGATGGCCCTTGGAATGTGGTCAATATGCCTGAAGAGATCTTCCCAGCTTACCTCCACAAAAACATGTTCCTCAACTCTTGCCTTAGCTAAATTTTATCTGTTCTATGGCAATTCCACTTTAAGCCATACTTTTAAGTCTAAATTGAACCAGGGAATGGGTCAACTTCATGGACAAGCAGGCATTTTGGTAGGTGGCCTTAAGACAACAGTGAGTGAGAGCTGAACAGAAGCTCGTAAGGTTAGGAGACTGATATCCCATGACCAGAATGTCAGGCCTTGGCTCTAGGAGCTCCACTGTCTGGAAGGGGCTTCAGTGTCTTTGAAGCTGGAATCTCACTTGTGTGACCTGTGTCCTGGGAACCCTTAGGCAACTATAAGCAGGGACCCAATCTTCCTAACTGACTGGCTAGATCTCTGGGTAAAGATTCTTGGAGGAATGGGAAGACTCAGCCTAGAGACTAGAGACTGAGAGGGCTTCAGATGCCCTACAAGAGTCCTGTAGAAAAAGCAAGGCCAGCGAGGGAGAGTGTGGGGGGGACCTAGGAGGACCTAGTAGCACTCTTCAAGGATGACTAAGATCCACTTTCTGTGGCTCTAGAAGGCAAAGTGGCCAGAATCAAAGGTTGGGAACAAGGGCTGGCTGCCTGCCTGTTGGAGGAGATTTTATACAGGGGTGTCTATGACACAGAGAAAAGACAAGGGTGCCTGCTGGAGCCCATGGGGAAGTCAGGCTGTTATGGGACAGCCCTCACCAGTTAGCATTTGTCTTGGTAATAACGAGTCATGCCTGCTTCAGAGTTACCTTCAGAACCAAATGACATCATGAGCAAAAAGATGAGTGTACATGCATCATAATGGGATTGTTCTTAAATACAAGAGCCAGCTTAAAGTCATGATGTCAAATGCTACATTATGAAAATGAGCTCAATCCAAGGTTTGGTTTTTAAAACTGCAGACCAGCTTTGGTACAGAATCTCTCTCCCAATGGGCTGGGGGCATGCAGTTAGGCTGAATCTACTCACCTTGAATGTGACATGTGTGTCTGAAAGGAGGGGGCCTTCAACCTCAATGATGGGTGTCGACTGGTCTCTGCTGATGACGTGGATGCTCCCTCCTCCACTGGTGTCGATCCCATCGGCCAGGCTTGGAGAAGACGAGCTGTCTGTGGTATTAAGTGCTTTAGCTAATGTATCAAATGCCCTGTGAACAAAAATGAAGTAAGCAAATATTGTGAATCTACAGCTTTTAGAGGGAACAGAGCTCTAGCTGAGATAGAATTTAGAAAAACAACGCACTAGGGGAAAGACAACTAAGTTCCACCTGCTAGGGGAAGAGCTAACAGTGAAGTTTCTATGTGTTATCTATACATCGTCTTGGGCACTGAGCTATATAGATGTTGCTTAACTTCCTATAAAATTTCTATTTATTACAACTACCCTCCGAAGGTAGAAAGTCTCTCCATTTTATAGATGTGAATGCTAAGGCTTACAGGTATTAAATAACTTTTCCAAGACCACATAGTAAGTATTGGAACCAGAATGCTACCTAATTCAAATCCCGTCTTCTTTCCAGGGGACCTAGATCTTATTTGCTATCAGACACACACGTGAACACGAGGACCAGAGTACCCAGTAGTCCCCAGCTTTGCACCTGACTAGCCCGGCACAACAGGCAGGAATGGAAGGAGAAAAGCACAAGAGCCGACCTGCAGAGAAGAACCATCCTCAACAGCAGTTACTGACGTCTGGGACCAGCTAATACTGATCTAGCTACCCTGGTGGGCTTAAGAAGAAATATTCATGAGAAAAACAGGCTAAGACAGAAGTAGAAAAGGAAGTGAACTATTAACGTGCAGGTACATCAAACAGTGATTAATACAGATAACATCTATTCACTAAAAGGGTCACCCTTGCTTCCACTGAGTTACTCAATTTCCTTTTTCATGGTTTGGAATAGAAAGCAGTTTTGATTGTTTTACACTAATAATATAAGTGGTCTATGTTATGATAGTTAAAATTTAAAAGAAGACAGACTAGGGTCATGTGACAGTTTTATAATCCTTGATTAAATGCAGCATGGGTACCAAAGTGCTACCATCCACCCTTACAACACAGTGACTGTGTGCAGGCCAGGAGAGGACCTCTACCATCATGAGCTCGTACCGAGTAATCTCACTTGCAGATTGATCCTCCGGCTGGATTTCTGAAGTGTCACCATTGTTCAAGGATTCACTTAGGTTGGCAAGAGAGGTCACTACGTTTGCCAGTGTGCCCAGAGCTCCCTGACTTGTTTCAGCCTATTAAGCAAAAAACAGTAACATTATAAATGAACACACATATAAAAAGGACTCTGAGGCCAATGAAGGTATAATGTTGGTTCAAAAACAGTTCTAGAGGAGTGAGATTATAAAGGGGCAACACAAGGGAGATACTTTTTTTGAGTCGGAGTGGCACTCTGTTGTTCAGGCTGGAGTGCAGTGGCATGACCACGGCTGATCATACCTCACCACAACCTCCTGGGCTTGGGAGATCCTTCTACCTCAGCCTCCCAAGTAGCTAGGACTACAGGCGCATACCATCATGCCCAGCTAAACATTAAAAAAAAAATTTTTTTGTAGAGACAAAGTCTTGCTATGTTGCTTAAGTTGGACTTGAACTCCTGGGCTCAAGCAGTCTTCCTGTCTTGGCCTCCGGAAGTGCTAGGATTATAGGCATGAGTCCCCATGCCTGGCAGGAGGTATTTTTGATGATATAATAGTTCTATATCTTGGTTGTGGTAATATTTACACAAATCTACATGTGATAAAATGACAAAACAAAAACATAAACTGGACTCCAGTAAAATTAAAACTTTTATGCTTCAAAAGAAATTGTCAAGAAAGTAAAAAGACGGTCAGGCTTGGTCGCTCAGCCTGTAATCCCAGCATTTTGGAAGGCTGAAGCAAGTGGATTGCCTGAGCCTGCGGGTTCGAAACCCCACCCGGGCAACTTGGCGAGACCTCGTCTCTACAATAAATCAAAAATTGGCCAGGTGTGGTAGCGCACACCTGTAGTTCTGGCTACTTGGAAGGCTGAGGCGGAAGGATTGCCGGAGTCCAGCAGGTTGAGGTTGCGGTGGCTGGGAGCGGCCACTGCACTCCGGTCTGGGCGACAGAGTAAGACTCCAAGTCGAAAAACCCAAAAAACCAAAAACAAAGTAAAAAGACAGCCCACAAAACAAAACAGCAATGCATAGAATGGGAGAAAACATGTGCAAATCATATATCTGATAATGGGTTAGTAGCCAGAATATCTAAAGACCTCTAACAACTCAACAGTAAAAAGACAACCCAATTTAAAATGGACAAAGGATTTGAAAAGACATTTTCCCAAAGAAAATATATAAATGGCCAATAAACAAATAAAAGATGCAGACATCACTAGAAACGTAAATGAAAATCGCAACGACATACCACAAAAAAAAGCGGCCACAGCCAAGAAGATGAGCAATAACAAGTGCTGGCAGGAATGTGGAAAAACCAGCACCCTTGTATGCACTTGGTGGGAATATAAGGTTGTGCAGGTACTTTGAAAAATGGCCTGGCAACCCCTCAAGAGTGTGAACCTAAGAGTTACATAGGACAGCCACTCTTCTCTCTCTTAAAGCACAAACAAATCGAATGTCCACCAACTGACGAAAGTGCCATAGCTATAGAGTGGCCTGCATTTGGCAATAAAAAGGAATAAAGGGCTGGCACATGCCACAGCCTGGCATATGCTACATCGTTTAAGGCTGACCCTAAAACCCGCGTGCTGAGTGAAAGAAGCTAGTCACTGAAGAGCACGAATCGTTTAATTTCCTTTATGTGAGACGTGCAGAAATGGCAAAGCCGTAGAGCCAGAGAGCAGACCAGTGGTCGGCAGGGCTTGGGAAAAGCAGGGAGGAGGGGGTCACTGCATAATGGGGTTCATAGTTTCTTTTGAGGTAACGAAAATATTCTAAAATTAGATAGTGGGGATGGCTTCACAACCCTGTGAATGTACTAAAAACGACTAAATCACACATTAAAAAGGTGAATTGTATGGCATGTAAGTTAATTTCAATTTAAAAAAATAAGAAAGCCAGAGAGACACTCAAATAAACCAAGGAATGTATACATAAATGTCTGTTTTGATTACAAAAGCGAAAAACTAGAATCAACAGAAAAGGTCATAGAGAAATGATTAAGAAACCACAATTGAACCATGTATTACAATGTTGTGCAGCTGCTGTAAGATCTACTCATCATGATAGAAATGTATGTTGGAGGAAATAAAGTTGAAGAAAAAGACACAGAACAATACACGCAGACTGTGATGAAGTCAACATCCTGGCTGTGACACTGCACTCTAGTTCTGTGGGATGAAACCACTGGGAGAACCTGAGTGAAGGCTATATGGGCGCTCTGTAATAGCTTTGAACTTATTTCAAAGTAAATTATTTTTAATACATAATCATCTCAAAGTAAAATTTAAAAATAGCTTCTGAAAATAGCTTTAGGTGCTTTGCACATGTTTTATTATTCATAACAAATTTCCGGGGTGGGTATTGTTATTTCCATTTTACACAGGATAGAATGGGGTCATCTATTTCTGAAGTTCTTCACTTATGTACTTAAATACTACACAGTTTTTGCATTCATTCTCTACCATTCAGTGACAATAACTAATTCCTAACGGTCAACATTTATTGAATGCTCACTGTGTGCCAAGTGCTTTATACAGTTAACTTCCTCTAGCTCACCAACAACCATGTGGGGTGGGCACTGAAGAAACTAAGATATGGGAAAGAGGCACCCAGCTACTAAGAGAGTGCTGAATGCTGAGCCCAGTCCAGCCGGCTCTGGAGTCTCAGTTCTCATTGTCAGTCTCTGCATAGATGGCACAGTAAATGGTTGCTGTGAATCCCTTGGTTATCAGGAAATTTTAAGGTTCGTTATTTGGGCCTTACTTTCAGGCTTATGCTTTCTCTATATTTCACTACACAGTGAGAGTCACTGATCCAGAATGTCTGCTGGTGATAAGCGGTGGAGTCAGTGTGATCCATCAGCTCTTGTCAAGTACATCACTCCTGCCCAAAGACAGGAAGATCAAGGCCCTGCCTGAGGACTAGTGGGTAGAGGACAGCTCTCTAAGCCAGTGAAGGGCTCTACCCATTTTGCTTTCTCTTTTCCAGAAGAGGATGCTCCATAATGCCCTGACAGAGCCCATGAATGAACATGTGAATAGCTGAGAAGGAAACCTGCAGGCCTTGCTCTGGCTCCAAGGGCAACAGCAATGCCAGTGCTCTCAATTACCAAGTTGTCCTCTTTAGAGCCATAGAAAGAGTAGCTTAGCTTGCTGCTGCTTCCTCATGACTCGGTTTACATCAGGAATAGCAAGACAAGAAAAACAATGGGTTCCCTTGCCTGGATAAAATCCTCCTCCTTGGCTGTCTTCACAAGAGCTAGTAGTTGTTTCTCCCTCTTAGTCTGATAGATATCTCTGAGTACAAGTTAAAATTCCATATGGCTGCTTAGCTCTAGCAAAGCTTTAGAACTGTTAGATTCCTGGCCAAACTTTCTCTTGAAGATCATCTAATAAAAAGGAACTGGGAGCTTTGGTGAAAGGCCATCTTAGGATAAGTATCTCTTTCAGCATGCTAGGAGTTTGTCAATGTGTATACGAGAAACAGAAAACCTTAACAGAAATCATAATCACAGAATGTCTACCAGACTGAAGTCTGGACTCTGACATGTTGGAATGACTGTGACCAGCCAGGCCTACTGAGGTTTCTGAAAAGTCATCACCATCTCTAAAATTCCTGAAGAGCTATCACAATAAGAAACTGAGTGCGTGTGCCACTGCACACCAGCCTGGGCGAGGGAGTGAGACTCCAACTCAAAAAAGAAAAAAAAGAAGCCGGGCTCGGTGGCTCAGCCTGTAATCCCGCACCTTTGGGAGGCTAAGGTAAGTGGATTGCCTGAGCCTGCACGTTCGAGACCTGCCTGGGCAGTGAGACCTCATTTCTACAATAAATCAAAAAATCAACCGGGCATGGTAGCGCATGCCTGTAATTCCGGCTACTTGGAAGGCTGAGGCGGAAGGATCGCTGGAGCCCAGCAGGTCGAGGCTGCAGTGGCCGGGAGCGGCCACTGCACTCCAGTCTGGGCGACAGAGTGAGACTCCAACTCAAAAAAAGAAAAGAAAAAAAAGAAACCGAGATGCAGAAGGTCATGCCTTTAGTGTGGTCTCTGAAGGCCATGAAGAAGGTGGGAAGGTGGGACGTACAGCTAGAGAAGCAGCTGCACTGTCAACATAAAGGAAGACAGGAAGCAAGAGCAGAGTATGTCACCTTGGAATCCGTGGCCAGGAGAACTGTACCATCCTCGCGTATCAAAGGCTGCTGGATGTTCACAAGCATCCCTGGATCAAGAAGACCTGTTTGTCTATTTAAAACATAAAGAAACCCAGAGTAGCTTCCAATGTTTTATGCACAGTATGACCATGCTGCATTTACCTGTTCTTCTTCATTTGCAAAGCTGTCTGAATAGTAGGAAAGCTCTGACTAGACTCAGTCACTGAGTGACTGAATGCCCACCTCACCTCCCACTACCACTTCTTTCTGCAATGAGATGTGCACAAAGTTGGGTTTATGGCTTGAGACAGGATGAAACACACATGCACATCCCCCAGGGCTTTCCAGACTGAATGCAGACTATGGCCATTTTGCCAAGGAAAGTTAACTTGATCTTCAGAAAATCACCAAGGCATCCTGGAAACATTTTGGTATTATTTTCCCTTTTTCTGTTCCTATGTTAAATGTATTATATCAAGAAGGTTGTACACATTAACTCGCAGCACTAACTGGGACCTCACTTCATCTTAGGCTTTCTGTCTGTACTGCAAAAAAGCCCTAAGCTTGAGTTGCGAAACAACTGTTTTCCTATATGAGTGACACCTATACTGCAGGAAATCCTCTGAGCCCAAGGCTAGGAGAATTTCTGACCCCCCTGTAAATCAAGCATCCTCAGGCCTGTCCTGATAAGCACTGCACAGCTCCCGACAGGGTGGGATGGGCTGCGAGAAGGCTGGGGCTATGGCAGACGTGTGGGACCCGCATGAGCGGCCTTTCCAGGAAGCATCTGTGTCTCCTCTGCTCAGCTCCAAGGTCTGGCTGCAGTGAGAATAGGGGACTGACCTTGCCCCATCTTTGTCTGCCACAAACGTGGGAGTGGCTATCAGAGGACTTCTCAGGTCCTTCCGGATATAGATTTTCTCAGTTGAAGCAGCACAATTGCTTGGTTTTTCCCGTTGCACATCAAAGGGCTTCCGTTCACTCTGTACAGCTTAAATCACAACACAAGTATTCATGTTTAGAGAAAATCTTCAAATCAATAAAAACTATATCCCTCATAGTAAGGCGAGGGGTCTTCCTTAGCAAATCCATGGCTGTAGGGATGATAAGCTCTGGAGATAGGTTTGTCTAGCTTAGCTTTCACAGCAATTTTTCAGCCAAAGGAGAGATGGGTTCAAAGCCAAACCATGTATGTCAAATTTAAGGGCATAAAAAAGGGCTCAAGAGGGCATGTGTTGCCTGCTAAGAAACTGTACCACAGTATCTGCATGGTCAATGGAGACCCCTACTGATCCCTCTGGATTTTCACCTCTTTTTATTAGCAAAATAGATTCTCTCTAGGTTAAGAAATGCTCATCAAGTAGGCCCTTAATAGAGAGCTTGTCTCATATCACAAATTATAGAGGAACCGCTCTGATTTCCAACTTAAGCCTGAATAGCTTCTGTAAACTGTTGAATGGGTGTCAATTTTACATCCCACTGGTAAACTACTCCCTTCAGCAATCTAGTATAAGAAAAGTTATATATGCCACAAGCAACTGAAGAAAATGAAGGCTTTTTAAAGAAAGGAGAGATGAACTCCAGAGACCAAGATACCGATATCCTGCTGAACAGATATCCAGTTGGGTCTAGTTTGCAGCTATGGCTGCGATCCCAAAAACATTGGTTTCGGTCATTGCTCTCGAGTAAAAATATCATTGAAAAGAAAGCAGCTTAGCAATGTGGGCCAGTCCCACGGTGAGCCAGTGATGATTTTATTCACTTAGGGAAAGAGTTTTATCACTGGATAAAATAAAAACATCACACTAGGCAGAAATTAGGTTGAGATTTCTAATTTCTCAAAATAATACATTTCCATTTATTCCCTAGTGAATTTTGTAGTTTCCTATTCCCAGAAAATGCAAACACCAATACTTAAGTTGACTAACTTCCAGTCTTCCTCAGGAGCTATGCAGATGAGAGAACTATGAAGCACCCTCTAGCAGGAGCCTGCAGTCCCAGGTTTGGGGCCACCAGCCTTGCTAGGACGAATGTGTGCCTCATCTCTGCTGAGCTCCACTTTCCTGCTGTGGTTTGAGAGCCCAGCTCTACTCCCCTTGGCTTTCTCTTTGCTGCCTATGTTGGATCCTGGTCTTCATGTTTTCAACACTCGCTAGGCAAATGACCCTCATGCTGACTGGTCTCTGTCGATGAGGGTCTGGTTTTAGAATTCCTAACCTCCAAAATTCTGGCTACAGGAGCTGAGAGGAAGGCTTGAGACCCTCCCTGGCTGCCCCACATCCAGGGGCAACAGTTTTTCCTTTAGAACTCCAGCTGCAGAGGCTTGGCAGAGGGCCTCACCCCAAAGGAAAGTATGGGGCTAAGACGACAGTGAGTGAAAGTAGGTTCATTCAGTCCTTGGGAGCAATGTGTGAGGGAAGGGGCTCTCCTTCACAGACAAGGACTCTGTGGCTAAGAAAGGTTGCATGTGTCCCCAGGTCTCATACCTCTTCTAGTGGCAGAGCTGGAGTTGGATTGAGTATTGGCTTTCCTCCAAAGTTGTGTTCACCCCCCTCCACTGTGCTGCCTCCCAATTCATCTGGAATAAGGCTTTCTACACACACCATGAGAACTGACCACCTAGCACAACGTCAGCTCTGAATCATCTAGCTGAACCAGAAAGTAAACCAAAATGAAGCCTGAGCAGACTTTTTTTTCTTAAAGCATTTTAAGGCCAGGTATAGAAACCTTATTTAAGGCCAGGTATAGAAACCTTATTTAACAAACTCTGGCTCACTCCCTCCCTGTTAAATCATGTGGTTTTTTAATACTGTTACTCACATTCCATTTTCATGCCCATCTCCAAGCATTTTTTCAGCCGGCAAAACTGACAACGGTTCCGGTGATGCTTATTGATGATGCAGTCTTGGTTGCTCCGGCAGCTGTAGGTCAAATTTTTCCTCACGCTCCTTTTGAAGAATCCTTTGCAACCTTCACAACTGACAGCTCCATAGTGACGGCCTGAAACAGGAAAAAGAGTATGTGAATATTTTGTGAATAGCTCAATAGATTGTGGATTCACCAAAAGAACAGGTGATCTGTCACAGGTCCTGCGTAAGTCGTATCAAAGTGACTGGTGTGTTCACTGTCAGGTGCTGATGGCTGTGGATTACCCAGTAAGCGTAATGGCCATGTCCTTCACAGAACTTTGCTACAATCTTTCAAGGAACCTTAGGAGTTCATGATGGAAATACTGAAGCTCAGACAGGTTACATGACAGCAGGCAAATGGCATGACCTTAATGATCTTAGTACACAAAGGACTTAATGCATAGTAGGAGTTCACAGATGATGGCTGAACTCTGCGGTCCACTTGTGCTTGCCTGGTGCTAGCCTTGCAGATCTGGGCTTGCAAAGCTGCCTGGCTCTCCTGTCCTGCCATGAGTGGTACATAGCAGACATATACATTTGCTGTTTTAGCACACAGGGACTCATTCCTGCATTTACCCCTTTCTGATTCATATCCTGAGCCTAAACTTCTCCTGGGGGAAGTAGAATGGTCAGAGAAAGAAGCATGGGGACTAGGACTGTGAAGGTCCAAGGTGAAGAAAGGTTACCATATGGCTTACCTGGGCTAGCTACTCATGGCCTTTTAGAAACATAGTCCTAGGAATACGTTTATTAGACACAGTTCATTTTTTAAATCTTATTTACTTTGGTGTCTCTTTTATTTTTAATAAATAATATTTTTAATAAATAAATAAATTTAATAGACACACTGTATGTAACTATGCATACTTATGGGGTACAATTTAATGTTTCAATACATATTTACAAGAGGAGACCCCCCAAAATCCCAGAATTATCTTTTGGAGGGTGGGCCCCTTGTAGTACAGGCTTCCTGGGCTAGGTAAGTGATCTAGAAACTCACCAGCACCAACTTCAGCTAGTGTCGTTGTGAGGCTGTGTTCGACTTCAGTGAATTTTTTTCTGGAGATTCTTTCAATACATTTGCCCATTTCATGATGGATGATCTTAAGAGTGCACCTGCCCACACCATGCTGAGTGTTCAACAGTTTTTGACCAAAAATAGCACGACCCTGTGCCCCACCTTCCCTGTTCACCCAATCTCACCCCATGCTACTTTTTTTTTGTTTCTCTGGATGAAAAAAGTACTCAAAGGGAAACATTTTTGCTGATGTAGAAGAGATGAAACAAAAAAACAGCAGAAGCACAAAGGCATCCAAATGAGTGAATTCAAAACTGTTTTTGAACAATGGAAAAGTGTCTTGATACATGTATTACATCAAATAGAGAGTACTTTGAGGTGACTGAAGTTTAAACATGTAAGAATAAAGACAATTTTTTATAAATAAATTCCATTTTGGGGGAGGGTTCCTCCTTGTATTTTGTATGCTGACCAAATCAGAGTGACCCCACGTATTTATCATTTCTTTTTCTTCATTCAAAAGCTACTATTCTAGATATTTTGTAATATATAATACCTAACTGTTAACCATCACTACCATCTTACAGTAGAACACCAGAAGGTATTCCTACTACCTAACTGTAACTTTGTATCAGCTGACCCACCTTTTCCGATCTACCCCTTTCCTTCCACTCCCCAGTCTCTGATAACAACTGTTCTACCCCTTGTTTCTATGATATCACTCTTCCCCCTCCCCTTAAGATTACCTATATGAATGAGATCATGCAATATTTGTCTTTCTGTGTCTGGTTTATTTTACTTAACACAGTATCCTCCAGGCTCATCCAAGTTGTCACAAATGGCAGGATTTTATTCTTTTTTAGGGTTGGAGAGGATTCCATTGTATATACATATCACATTTTCTTTATCTATTCATCCACTGTTGGATACTTGGGTTGATTCCTCATTTTGACTATTGTAAATAGTGACGCAGTAAACACGGGAGTGCAGACAGTTCTTAGTCATACTGATTTCATTTCCTTTGGCTGTATACCCAGTAGTGGGGCTGTTGGATCATATAGTAGTTCTATTTTTAATATTTTGAAGAATCTCCCATACAGTTTTCCATAGTGGCGGTACTTATTTACAGTCCCATCAACAGTGTATAAGTATTCCCTTTTCTCTACATCCTCCCCAACACTTGTTTTCTTTAACCTTTTTGGTCACAGCTATTCTCACTGGAGTAAGGTGGTATCTTGTTGTGGTTCTGATTTGCATTTCCCTCATGATTAGCGATGTTGAGCATTTTTCCATGTACCTGTCGGCCATGTGAATGTCTTTTATTGAGAAACGTCCATTAAAGTCTTTTGCTCATTTTTAAACAAGGCTTTTTTTTCCCTTTGAGTTGTTTAAGCTCCCTATGTATTCTGGATATTAGCCCCTTGTCACATGTGTGGTTTGCATGATGTCTCTAACTTCTCTTTATTTATCAGTGACATTAAAAAGCACCCCCACCTCTGTTTACTCTTCCTAGTTCACAAAGTGCTTTTACACACATTACACCTCATTTGTTTCCAGGTGACACCACAGATTTTTTTTTTTTTAAAGAGACAAGGTCTTTGTCACCCAGGCTAGAGTGTAGTGGCACTATCATAGCTCACTGTAGTCTCGAACTCCTGAGCTTAAGTGATCCTCCCGCCCCAGCCTCCCAAGTAACTGATACTACAGGTACCTGCTACCACACCTGGCTAATTTATTTTATCTTATTTTTGTATAGACAGAATCTTGCTATGTTTCCCAGGCTGGCCTTGAACTCCTGGCCTCAAGTAATCCTCCCATATCACCCTTCTGAAGTGCTGAGATTATAGGCACGAACCATTGTACCCAGTCCCTAATTCTGCTTGTTTGTGTAATCCAATAATTTCATTTATTTTCTTTTAGAAACAGAGTCTCACTCTGTCACTCAGGCTGGAGTGGAGCGGTGCAAGCACAGGTCACTGCAGCCTTGACCTCTTGGTCTCAAGCAATCCTCCCACCTCAGCTTCTGAGTAGCTAGGACTGCAGGCACACACCACCAAGCCTGGCTCAACTTTTATTTTTATTTTTGCAGGGATGAGGTCTCACTATGTAATCCAAGCTGGTCTTAGACTCCTGGCCTCAAACGATCCTCCTGCCTTGCCACTGAAAGTGCTGGGATTACAGGCATGAGCCATCATACTGGACCCTGTGTAACCCAATTTCATAGCTACATTGCCAGGGAGGACACATTTCACAGGACAATCATTTATGGTGGGTACAGGGAATCCCATCATCCTACACCACTCTAGTATGCAGAACCATTTCCCAAGTGCGCATTTGGAGGATCTCAATTTTGTTCTTTTAAGAACAGTTGTGCTAAAATTCCTTCTGGAACATTGGTTTTCCTTTCCTTGCAGTGTATTTCCTTGAACCGTCTAATCCTTCAAGTGACTCTGAAAACACCTGGAGATAATGGCACCAAGAGCCTGAGACTAGGCCTTCCCTTTAAACTCAGAAGAGGACTAATAAATGGGGAAGCCAGGCAGATTCTGTGGCCTTGTGTTATGTTCATGCTTCATCTGTTTGTTCAAAGGTTTGCAAAGTGCCTTTTCTTGCTGAGCAAGAAGATGGGGATACAGAGGTGAATAGGTAAAACATGGTTTTTGCTCTAACATTTCAATGGGGGAAGACAGGTCTGTAAAGAGTTTATTAGAAAAGTATGCAACAAGTGCTTAGAGAGGTCTGCACGAAAGGGCATTAGGACCTCGGCAGCATTGTCTTATCTACCTACTGGAGTAGGAGAGGGCTCCAGAGAAAGGGTAGGGTGGGTTGGTTTACCAGAACAAAGGGTGGGAGCAGAGGCAGGCATCATTGGCAAAGAAATGGTGTCACCAGCATGGAAGGGAAACCGCAGCTTTGGGTCTGCTGTGGATGCTTGCCTGGGGCTGTTTTCCTAAAAGGCTTAGTTCAACCTCCTTTAAAAAAAATAAATAAATAAAAATAAAAAAAGAAAGAAAAACCAGGACTACAAAGTGTCCAAAGTTCCTGTGAATTTGTGGCCACAGAATAAAGTAAAACTAAGCAGCCATCACAGAACTCAGGCCTGTGCCCCTGGCATCCCTGGAACCAAGCCTTTATCTACTACTACTCCATTCTTACTTGTCTGTCCCACTAATGTTCTATGGCTCCCCAGTACAAGCTGGTCAGAATCTGAACTTTGGGACCAGACATCTTCTCCAGTCTCCCTTTACCCACATCCTAACTATGGAAGCTCATGAGTGTTGGGAGCCAACATCTATAGCTACATGGCTGAGGCCTGTAAAGGCCCATCTGGAAGATCGCCTCTGACATAGGATATCAGTTATACCTATAATATTGGCGTGTGATTAGTGACCAGTATGCATACATGGCAGTAAAGCTTATAAGTAAATCTCAATACACCTGATGGAAAGTGCATAGCAGAATTATTTCTCTGTCTTTCTAAGTTTTACTTCTTTCTAGATATTTTTTTTTAACTTCTATTTCCTGGTAGACTGGGTAGTCAGCTCTTGTTCCCGAAAGCTGTTTCCCCTAGGGCTAAGATTAGAAGCTAAATTACCATGATAGTTTTGTTGCCCTGCCCCTAGCCAGGTAGAACGTCTTCTTTTGTTTCGTTAATTACCGAAACTCTGTCTGCTTCAGCCCATGGCCGCCATCTTGGAAGCCCTGCATTTCCTTGTTCAAGAGTGTGACAGCTACTATTTGATTTTTAGAGTAGACTTGTTGGGATAAAATATATACATATACACTCATAGCTGCGTAAATCTATGCTTGCTGTTTTGTTTTCTTT